TGTCACATGTAAATCTTGGAAACAACCCAACTTTTCCTATTTTGATTGTGTTTAAAAATAAAAAAACAAGAATCCATCACAATTAAATAGGATTTATAGGACTTATGTATCTGTGAAGTGAAAAATTATGAATCATCGTGTTATAAATGAAAAACAGAAACTTGCTCATCTCATTAGAAGCAGAAAAAGAAATAGAAAAAAGGGCACCACTTTTAATGATTAAAAATGTGTACCAAATTAAAAATAATATAATGTGTGTCAATACATAAGAGCCCAGATCTGAGATGCTCTCTGGTCATAACACTCTCAAATGTAAAAAAAAATTAAAAGCCTTTCCTGTAAAATCTGAAACAAGACAAGGGTACTGGTTCTTATCATCACTTCACTAGAAGTCTTTTCCAAAGCAGTTAGGCAAGGGAAAGAAATTTAAGGTGATCAAACAGGAAAGCTGAAGCTGTCACTCTTTGCTGATGACATATTGTTATAGCTGCAAAGCCTTATAAACTTCACTAAAATTAATTAGAACAAATAAATGAATATAATAAAGTAGGAAAATTTAAAAATATGCAAAATTCCATAGCATTTTTATATACTAAAAATAAACTGTCTAAAAAGTAAATCATTACAAAATGGTCCTTTATTTAAAGCCTCTTTTTTGTGTGTTTTGTCAGAGATGGGTGTTTCATTGTTGTTAGAGAAGCTGTATTTGGAGAAGTCCTTGTACATACAAGATAGTTAGAATAGATATACAGCTACTATCGCTTAGTTCAGTGAGAAGAAAGGTTTGCACTAATAGTGTTTAGGCAAGATTTTATGATTACATCTTGTCCTCTGAATAACTACTATGAGGACAACAATATGCAATGTATTAATTATTGTAACTGTCCTACTAACCTGTTTTTAAAATTGTTTCATTGTTATTTTGTCTTTTTTCTAATTAAAATGAATAAAAATTTAAATAAAAAATTAACCAGTCACAATTATACTAGTTAAAGAATAAAACTATGTAAAACTAAATTTAATTGAAATGATGCAATGCCTGTATGTTGAAAAATACAAAATGTTGATGAAAGAAACTAAACAACACAAATGAGTAGGAAAACATCTTATGTAAATGGAGTGGAATAATTAATATTGCTAAAAATGTCCATAATATCTAGAATAATCTGTTATCTAGATTAAATCCTTCTTTGAATACCAATATTATCCTTCAAGAACATACAAAAGAAACCCCCAAATCAAAATCATATGAAATAAAATAATCTTATGTCACAAAGTAATCATAAATGTAAAGGACAATATTGGATATATCATACTACCTAATTTCCAACAAATATTACAGTTATGATAACTGGAACTGCATAGTATAGACAATAGACACACACACACACACACACACACACACACACACACACACACTACACACTGTCCAAGACTAGGATACAGATCCCAGAAATCAATCCAACGACATGCAGTCAACTGACTTTTGACAAATACATTGAGGCTATCCAAAGGGAAAGGTATTCACTTCAAAAAGTGGTTCAGTGAAAAAGGATTCCTATATGCATAAAAAAGAACTATTATTTGATCTTATGTAAAACCCAATAAAAAGAATTAAAGACTGAAATATACCTTCAGAAACTCAAACATAATTACAAAAAAATCATAGGGAAAAACTACATTGAAATGTCTGGGTAGATGAATTTTTTTGGCTTTAACTCCAAAACAGTAAGCAATACATATGAAAATAGTTACATGGGATTATCTCAAACTAAAAAGTTTCTTCACTATAAGGAAAATAATTAACAGAAAAGAGAACATCTAAAGATTGTGAAAAATTTATGTAATTCATACATACACTTATTAAGCAAACTACATAAGAAATTCAAAACTTGCAACTGTAAGAAAATAAATCAATAAAACTCAATTAAAATATTTTTCAGAAGACATACAAATGAACAACAAATATATTTTTTAAAATGCTCACTATATATGCATATATACAGGATAGCTTGGATAATTGTACTGCTGATTTCTGCTGGTCTATTGAAAGGATCAGTTAGTGCTTAATTTTTTTCTTTTTCGCTTTTAATTCTTTATAATTTTTTACCAATTTTGCATGCTTACATATGTTACTCTGAACAACTAATTTGAAGACAACAATATGCAATATAACAAACAATGTTCAATTCCTATCATTTTTTAGTGAAATTCTGTATAGTTTCTAATGTGTTTTATTACAATATTTTGTATTCTATTTTAAAGTTAATTAAATGCTCAGCATTATCAGTAAGGGGAAAAAGCAACAAAAATCACAATGAGATATTTTCTCATCCTGGTCAGTGTGTCTCTTAACAATAATGAAATAATAATAATAAGTGTTAACAAAGATGTAGACAATAGAGATATTTACACTGTTTTGCAAAGGTGAAATAATCTGGAGATTAATCAGAAAGCTAATAATAAAATTATCTCATGATCCAGAAATTCTACTTCTGAGTGTCTACTCAAAGTATTTGAAGTGACTTTGTCGAAGCTGTGCCTGAGTCCCATGTTGGCTGCAGCAGGATTCACAGGGGTTAAGGTATAAAATTAACCTGTGTCTGTCAGCAGAAGAGTGGACAACACCACTGCAGTATTATGTACAAACAGCCTTCCAAAGGGAAGAGCTGTCACTTGTGACAACACAAATGAAGCAAAAGAACATTGTAAGTAAAATAAGTCAGGTGGGAAAAGACAAATATCACATCGTTTGTGTGTGAATCTAAAACAAAACTCATGAAATCAGAGGAAAGAGTAGTAGTAGTTATTTTGGTAAGAAGGACAGAAGATGAGGTAAAGGACACTAAATCTCTAATGACTGGAAATTTGTTTCTTCTTTAGTGCCATTTCACAGTGTGGTGAATATAGTTAATAGCAGAGTACTTTAGAATTACATTTCTAGAAAAAGAAATGTGTGGGCTTCAGCTATATAAATATTGAGTGATTAAGCAGATTATAACATTCATCAATTTCATGCAATTACACTAATTGACATTCATAAATTATATTGTAATCATAATTAATGTAATTTGAATTTATTAATTATATTATAAATTTATATATTTATGAAAATATAATATATATGTAAAGGAGCAGTTAATGCTTAATTTGTTTTGTCTCCTTTTTCAATTCTTTGACCTTTTTCTCATCTTAATTTCTTTTTTTTTTTTTTGGCAGAACCAGGGATTGAACTCAGGATCTTGTGCTTGCCAGGGAAGCACTTATTCTACCAGGCCATCTCCCCAAACCCTTTAATTTCTTATACACTTCTTTTTTTACGTAATAAGGACAGGGCCTACAGGGTCTCACTACATAGATCAGACTCATAATGATTCTCCTGTCTTCAGCCTACCAAACTCTGGGATTACAGGCCCACTCTCAATCGCTTCTCAGCTCACCCCTGAGGAAAGGCCTGCATGCCATTCTGGGGCTCAAACACTGGCTGCTGCACTCTGCCTAAGCAGGTGCTTTAGTCTGCTGAGCTACCTGGCAGGACCTTCTTATATATTTCTTTTTTCTTTCAATTTTAGATGCATATATCTGGTAATATGAACAATTAATTTGAACACAACACTATGTATTACAAAAAATATTTTGAAAATCATATTTTGTCTAGTAAAATTCTGTATCACTTGTAATTTCTCTATTTTATAATACTGTACTTTCTTTAAAAAATAAAAAAAGAATAAACAATGAATTATATGTACTTTTCACACATTTTCTATCTCAAATACCTTATTATATTATAGTCACTCAGCTGCCAGAAGTTGTTTGAAAGGAACTGAAATTGCACAAAATCGAAGATTGAAAGAGAGGTATTAGGATTAATTTTTGAAGTATTTATATAAAGTATAAGATTCTATAACCACACCAAAATGGTAGGGACAGAAGCATAGAATAAAGAAGTTTTTAATGACTTGGAGTTTTTGAATGAGTCCTGGGAGCAAAAAGTTCCCTGAAGCTTCTGAGATACCATCCACAAAGAATCAACTTCTGCCTACTGAGCGTCCCTATTCATAAACACACTCTCCTCCCACCCAACCCTAGGGCAATGTCAGAAGATCCTTCATTACATCTGATAAGGCCCTCCACTTGGCCACACTGGCAACAAGTACAGATACTGAAAATCTCTGCATTTCTCCAATCTCTACCTTATCTACTAGTTTCCTTTGAGCATTCTTCCTCCTGGACAACTCTCTAATCCCATAATCAACTTCCATTCTTCATCTATATCTAACAGTTAACCTAACTTGAGTCCAGCTCTAACTTTGAAAATACTATAAGACAAATCTTCCAATATTTGTCTTCAAATCCAATACCCAACACAACCTCAAGGAAGGAGGTCCTGTAGCAGATGCTGGTGGTACCTCTTTGATAATCATGATTCTGGGCAACCCAGCCTAGCTCCCACTGACATCAGCTATAACTCTTTGTCTCACTTTTTTGTGTGGCAGCTTGCATCACTAGGCCCATTTTTGCAGGAAATCAAGTATCATAAAACTAAGCACTTACTGGAATTTTCTTCAATTAATGACATGTGTACACTTGTGGATGAAGGCACAACACTTTGATACTAAGATGGCACAACCCTGATATGTATCTTCCACTTATTTCTCAAATCAATTTAGCTGTGCTTTTCAATAATAGACAAACACTTGACTTGGCATTATTTTTGAATTCTATTTTTCCTTGTGCCATTTCCTCATCTCTTCTAATTGGTTTTTTTCTGGGATCACTGTACAACTAACAATTTGTATTTGGACCTTTTATTCATATGTGCCTGGTACAAACAAAATAAAAATGCCATCTTCAAGCCACAAGGAATCAGTCTTTTAGTCTTAACACCCAACACTTCAACACATCTGAATAAGACATAGGCAGGTCAGAGAACAAAGATGGCATATCAGAGTCTGTCCCACACACATATCAGAGTCTGTCCCACAGTTTCTAAGACTTACCTCTGTGGCCACGGGCCACAATTACAGATGGGATACCAAACATGAAGTCTCCCAATAAGTTTAGGAACTGCTCTCTCTTTTGGGTAAGGTCGTCTGTCCCTCCTAAATACTTCTCAATGGCTGTTGGAGTCAGTTCCTCAGGAACATTCTGAAATGCATCAACATATTGAGCAATGGTGATTCCACAGCCAGTCAACAAGACCTTAATGATAGTGAAAGTCTGGAACTTAGGCAAATCCTCCCTGGTTAGTAAAGTGAAAAAGGCAGAAAAATGGGCCAAACCCCAGATTCTAGGTCATTGAATTGGTCTGCTACTTTTTTTTTTCACATCAGTTATTTTTATTTTAAAGAAAGAAAAAAAATAAAAACAGTGGCACAAAATCTCAAAACAAGATTTTAGGAGAGTAACAATGGTTAGTACATTGTGTATTGTTATTGCCAAAGTAGTTTCTCATATTACAAGATATAGGCAAATAACATAGGTACAAACCTCTTTTTTCTTTAAGTCAACAGAAAATGGGAATATACTTTTTAAGTACAAAATCTTAAAACAAAATTTTAGGAGCGTTACAATGGTTAGCACATTGTGTATTGTTATTACCAAAGTAGTTTCTCATATTATAAGATATAGGCAAGAAATAATAAGCAAATAACATAGGTACAAACCTCTTTTTTTTAAGTCAACAGAAA